CACTCAGCATAATCTCCTCCTGTCCCATCCATGTTGATAGAAAAGTTGGGTATTCATCCTTTCTGATGGAGGCATAATACTCCACAGTATATATGGACCACATCATCTTTATTCCATTCATCTGTTGAAGGTCAGCTTGGCTCTTTCCACAGTTTGGCGACTGTGGCCATTGCTGCTATGAATATTGGGGTACACATGGCCCTTCTTTTCACTACATCTGTATCTTTGGGGTCAATACCCAGTAGTGCAATTGCAGGGTCATGGGGTAGCTCTATTTTTAATTTCTTAAGGAATCTCCACACTGTTTTCCAAAGCGGTTGCACCAACTTGCATTCCCACCCACAGTGTAAGAGGGTTCTCCTTTCTCCACATCCTCTCTTACATTTGTTGTTTACTGTCTTGTTAATTATGGCCATTCTGATTGGTGTAAGGTGATAACTTAAGGCTCTTAAACTAATGAATGTGAAAACTCAAGTCCGGAGATCCCAGAGACAACCATGTCATCCAGGCTAACAGCAGGGTAGTGGCAGGGCTATGACCTATAAGGTGGGTTTTCTGGTCCCGTTTGGTCTTATTTCTGCCCTTATACCCCTTCACCCCCATCAGTGTTAGAGCTGCAAGACGCAAAGAGGTGTGGATGTCAGGCAGGACCTCAGGGGTGGGTGGGTGTTTAGTAAAGTGAAATCTGTGGTCCAGGATCCCAGCCTGAGGCCTGTTGCTTTAGACGGTCAGTCAGGGCCAGTGTGTTTATTCACATGACATTAATTTATAAATGAAGATATCTCTGAAGTTTCCTGCGGAGTACATGGCTTTCCAGAGCATATATACTTTTATTTTCTGGCAGCCCTAGGCTGTTAGTCGTGGAAGCCTAATTCCTGTCAGTGTTCCATGCCCAAAAGCCTCCTCGACAGTCTACACTGCTTGGCCTTTCTGTGGCTGCTATTTCTTAAATTTGCTCCATACCCCACCTACTTCAGTGGCTCCTTGGCACTGATGGAGGAACTGGGTGTTAAAGCTAGTGGGGGGGATGGGAATCAATACCACTGATGATGTGAAAGGCAAGAAATGACCTATCTCAGTTGCCACGGAACAGTTTTTTTTACTTGAAAGTTTTCCGATCATGTATTGTCTGGCCTTCATTGGCAGAGGGAAGTTATATGCAGGAACATATAACAGTCAGCAACACATACAAGCAGATACACTCCTGGCTTTTATATATGTTTTGATGAAGTCCTTGAGGGCGTCCCCCTGAAGGCCCGTCAGTGTGTGGATTCTGAGCATAACTGAGCAGCGGTGTCTTGTTCCTTTCATCCTCACCATTTTCTGAAGCCAGGTCAGCTTCAAAGGGGAGAAGAGACACGTTCAGCCGTGACTGTTCTGCTTGAACCAGTGTGTGGGGTGGTCCAGATGCGAGCGGTATGAGCGGAGACCGCTTTCCTTTGATGCCGAACACAACTTTACGGGCCTCCCCCGGACATATCTCCTCATTTCCTGTGGGATTACAGTATATGCTTGTTTAAAGATTGCTAAAGTAATGTAGAAACAAATGTGAATTTGGTTGGCATGCTTCCTTTTCTTCAGCAGAAATAAAGGTGGGGGGGGGGGTCGCTGGCCTCTGGAGTCCCTGCTGTTCCTGTGGAACAGTATCAGAAAATGCGGCCCTGAACTTGTTAGTTGAGATCGGCAGCAGAGCTGCGCACTGAAACCTTTACCGAGAGGGACATGGTAGAGCTGACGGGGGAGGCCCTTCTGGTTCTCACAGTGGGTGAGGGGAGCGGTCAGCCAGATCATCTGTTCAGAGTCTCCCAAAACTGCCATTGCCCTTGGCAACATGTCATCTTGTGCATTTGGATTCTTCTCACCAAGTGCATCACCCCTGTAAATTGGAAGATATTGAAGTATTATTTTTAACTATTAAGGGTATTTCTCTGTTTCTTAACACAGATGTTCTTAGCAGGGATTTGTCTGTTGACAGGTTCCCCTCTAAAGAAATGCATATATTCAAAGCTTTTCTTAATGTCCATTTCAGTCCTGTCTGTCAGGGTGGTATGTGATGTTTGGGATCTTTACCCAGCTTGAAATTAATCTAATACTGCTTGTTCTAGATTTGATGCTTTCTTTCTTTCTTTCTTTTTTTTAATAGGCTGCGAATAGTTGGTTTTCTTGCTGCCCACAAGTGCTTTCCTCTGCCATATAAGTTGCCTTTTTTCTAATGCCTTGCACACAACCTCTGATTATTTGGGAGTTCCCTTATTATTGATTGTACCTCTGCAGGGTGGTGGGTTCATCCCTGCTGCGTTCCCTTGACACTCAGTTCTGGTAACTGGAGACTTAATGATCTAGTTATCTGGTTTATAATTGGTAGTCAGAAAGGCTGGGGTTGAGTCTGCTAGTCTATATTATTTAAGCTATGGTTTAGCAGCCACGCGTACTTGTTAAAACACAGATTCCTAGTTCCATTGTGGGGATTCTACACACTCACTCACTGTGTCCTGATTTAGACTCCAGGAATCTGCCATTTGTAGAAGTTTATGGAAGATTCTGGTGCAAGCACATCAAGTATGCGCCCAGTGTAATGACCGTGGTTTTTAACAGTAACATTTTTCATCTCTGCCAGTGTCTCAGATAATTCTGGAATGCTTCAAGTGATCGTCTTGGGTCTATCTGCACATGCTCGGCTGTGCTGGAGAAGGAACGTCAGCCGGGCTGGCTGCTGGAGACCTGGCTCTGGCTTCTCTACTGACCTTTCATCAAGTTACAGTTGTTTGCTCTGTCTAGGTTTCCGTCTCATTCATAAATCGAGGGCACCAGGTACCTAACAGATTCTTGACATTCTTTCATTTGAAGGGTTCTGCCCGCTTCCGAGTTGTACTTCTCATCACTGTTCGTTGATGGCTCCTGCTTCTTCTAGTTCTATGGGTGCCTGGTGGCTCAGCGGAACTTTAATCACCGTTTCGGGTAGCTGCTGGCTGTTCGCAGACCCAGGGCAGCTTCTATTCCTTTCTCCTGCCCCTACCAACCTCCCAGGACAGGTGGATGTAAACCGTTCCCCTGGGAAACAACTGCTTATGTTGGGGCTTCTCTTAAAATTCAGGTTGTAATTTTGACCCTTTCCATTTCCAGCCTGGCAGTTTTCACCCACTGGGCTCTTGTTGCCGGCTAGGGACTTTTGTGACTCTGGCAGAAGATGTGGCTGCTGTCGTGCTCTAGGGAACCATGCTTGGAATGCCTCACCTCTGTGCCCCCCAACAAATCTTTTGCTTCCAGAAACCTGCCGCCTCTTCTCCAAGAAGGGCTGTGGAGTTGCTTCAGAATGGTCTGGGTTGCCTTTAAAATTGTGCATGTGTGTGTCACCCAGCCCTGCCTGGTCCTCTTGAATCCAGCACTCTTGGGTGGGTTTGGACATGTGTGTTTTTTGAAGACTTGACTTTAAATGCTCCCTTTGGAGCCACCTTCTCTTCCTCTGGGCTGAGTTTTTACTGTAATTATTTTTTGTTAAGGGAGGTGTAAATAAGTGGGGGGTTGTCATCAGAATACAGTAAAGTGTGATCTGTGTCTGTTGAGAAAATTAAGCTGCTTCAAGACCTCGGTGACCCTCTGAGACTGAAGGCTTAACACAGCACACAGTTGAGGCGCAGGAACCATTGCTAAAGCCATAATCCTGGTGCCGGTCTGCTCTTCTTTCATCAGTGTGTCAGAGTGGGAAAGTCGTTCTTCCTTTCCTTAAAGTGTATTTTCACGTGATTACTCATTTGTCCTTTTTTCAGTGTAATTCAACAAAGATTATCGGGAACTTACAACATGGTAAGCATTGTTCTAGATGCTGAAGATAAGAGTAGTGAACAAAAAAGACAAAATTGCCGTCTTCTTGAATCTTTCTCTTTATATATGTGTGTATATATATGTGGGATTTAACATAATGGAACTAAATGGCTGCTGTATAGCACTATGAAATGTCATTTTAGGGAAATTCTTCAGGACCATCCTTTGTATTGCTAAGGTGACAAATTGAATTGGAAAATTGAGTCAAGCATGTGAAACCCAGATTAAATTCAAAATATTAAGACCAGAGACTGTGTCTTATTCACATTATACGTAGTTCATGGGTATTGAGGTACATATTTTCTGAAGGCAAAAAGAATAATCCAGTGGGTTCCAAAAAAAGGTAGCCAAGGTCACTGGCAGAATTAAAGTTTATCCTTGGATTTTGGGACTAAGTCTCCAAAGAGTTCTTCTTTGTTACAAATCTTCCTTTGACTCTGTGTTTTTAACTCCTGCGTAGACCAAGATACTTTGGGGGTCCTGGAGTTTACAGGACCTCTTTAACCTGTTGAGTGAAAGCATTAATTTGAGGTGAATGTTTCAGGTCTAAGGGGTGCTACTTCATAAATTACTACAAACTTCTGTACTTTCCTTGAATGGATTAATATAGCTTCCCAAGTGTCTCCTCTAATAGTAGGTACTTTACTTTATGGTGTCTACCTCTTTGTTGTGGTTTATGCACTAAAATTATTTGATTTAGATATAATAGGAATGTTTTCAATCTGCTTTCAAGGAATTTAAATGCTACATTGAATAAATGTAAAATCTTTCACATAAAAATCTTTAAAAATCTTTTAGCATGCCTGTTTTAAAAGTGCTTTTGTAAAAAGGAAAACGAGGTATGGGGGGGAAGGGGCTGTTTTTGTTTTTGTTTTTTTAAACCATAACATCTTGGGATTCAGAGTGTGGGCTAAAAAGATGGACTGCAAAGATAACCAATAAAAGAAAAACACATTCGATAGAGATTTCAGGATATCAAGGGAACATTTAAAAGAAACCAAGGGCCTGGCTCAAGTTGGTACTTATGAGTTAACTGACTTAGAAGAGAAGTAAATAGTGTATGAGCAAGGCAATAAAAAGATATTCTGGAAATAATTATTAATGCTAAAGTTCCTGCATCTCATTTTAGAATGCCTATGTTTGGAATTTCAAATGCATGATGAAAATGTGTATTTCAGGTTTGTGGAGAAAAACAGCGCTTTGAGAAGTTGATGGAACATTTCAGGAATGAAGACAATAACATAGATTTTATGGTGAGTTATTCCAGTACTACGTTACATTCAATAAAGCAAACTCTGTTTCTGTGCTTTTTTCCTAAATTCATTTATATTCATATATTATACATATGTGTGTATGTATGTGCTTATAAATGTTACAAAGGACAGAAAATTGAGTATAGTATGCTATAGACTCAGTCTAGAGTGTTCCTCACACTCTGTATTTTCCCCTTACAGGGGAAATTGGTGTTTATTTCCAGTTTTATCCCTCATGTGCTGCATAGCAAATAAAGGGTGAAGCCATGTGTTTGGGGAAAGGACATTCACTCCTGGTACAAATTCCTGCAATTGCCAGTTTTAGCTGTCAGTCAAGAAAGTAGAAACCAAGAATCTTGACCATTTTGTCTTTTGCACACCCCAGCCCGTGGCTTTCTCCAGACTACATTCTCAAAAGACTAAAGCTCATTGGTTTGTAGAATTGAACTGTATGCCCCCCCCAAACTATTATACAGCAGTGATTTCCAGCCCTGCTCCCCGCCCCACTCCCCTTGATCTCTTTCCCGCTCTGGTAGCTGTGAGCATGTCAGTATATTAGCATGGTAGTTCACGTGCAAGGACGTGTGGTTCAGCAGCAGCACTGTCCTCTCCAGGGACGAACAGCAAAAGGAGTGTGAGCACTGCTGAATTTTTAGACTTGAATCTTAATCTTGGGGTGAAGATGGAAATATACCCTAGAGAATTTCTGAGACACACGACCCATGAGGCACCCAGATCTGCAGGCTTTCTCTGACCCAATCCGGTTGACCCTGGGTGACTTCTGAGCCTAGGCGATCTCACAGGGGCTTCGTCTCTCAGCTCACCTCCAGCTTGGAGCAGGTACCCAGCCAGTTCTTACATTGTCCAGTCTGTTCAAACCTGCGTGGAGGGTGCCAGGCATGGTTTTATTCAACTTGGTTCAACAGCCATAAACCATGAAACATAGTTTTGCAGATTTCTAACCCTTTCATGTGAAAAAATTTTCTGGGTCCTTAAATTTTATGTGCATCCTAGCCCTCAACCCCTTCCAAATTCTATGAGAATGATGAGGTCCTTTTAGAGAAACTCTTCTGTTCCATCAAAGCTTGTTTCTTGCTTTAAAAAAAAAAAAAAAAAGGCAACGTGAAACAAGGAGTACTTTCACATTGGCTTTTTAATTTTGTTGTTAGGAATTTCTGAAGCGTTGAAGGCCTGTGTTGGCACGAATGATAAGTACGTGAAGAATCCATACATGGCTCACTTTACCGGTTTTTTTCCTCTGCCTTCAGAGGGGCAACTTCTTTGTCCCTGAAAGCTGAGGTTGCAAACTGGAGGCTCCCACACCGAAGCCAACGTACAGGCTTGTGAGCTGGGTCTGACAGTGACGTCCTTCCATAAAAAATTTGGAAATGGTGCATAAAATACAGATTGCTGATATATATATATATTTTTTTTTTAATTTTTTTAAATTTTATTTATTTATTTGACAGAGATTACAAGCAGGCAGAGAGGCAGGCAAAGAGAGAGGAAGAAGCAGGCTCCCTGCTGAGCAGAGAGCCTGATGCGGGGCTTGATCCCAGGACCCTGAGATCATGACCCAAGCCGAAGGCAGCGGCTTAATCCACTGAGCCACCCAGGCGCCCCTATATATTTTTTTAAACTAAAAATTTCAGCTAACATGAGACCCCTGCGCTTGTAGAGTATCAGCTGCTGGAGCCAAGTTGCCCCTATTTTTAGTCTGAAGATCCCCTTGCCAGTTTGCCGTGGTCCACACCATTCCTTGCTGTGTTACACGTGGCCCACTTCAGTGATTATCATACCTCGGGGATCTCCCTGCCACTTGAGTTTCTGCTGAAATTACGATTGTATAATCAAGTCCTTTAAAATGCCTTCACCGTTTACAAGGGAGAGTCTGTTTCTTGCCATTATTTATATGTGCATGCAGTGAGGAAGCTAATTTAGGAGCTGCTGGGATATAGGTACTATGCTTGATTCTTCTGTCACTGAGCAGATAGTCGCCTCTCAGGCCTATCTTAAAACTCAACAGATACTCAGAAGAGAAATGGACAGATGCCAGAATTGAACCATATTTTCCTCCAGAAAATGAGGCTTTTCTTAAACTGGACTTGGGAAGGCAGTTAAGTCGTACAACCTCCCAAACAACTTATTCCTCATAAAATATAAATTCTTCTAGCATAGCATAAGGCCTTTTCCTGTATTTTTTTTTTTTTTGTGTGTGTGGAAAAAAAAGTCTGATGAAATCTTTAGCTCATTTAACCACAGAATGTGAAGTCATTTTTTATTAAATTGCAAGTCTTCTTATAACCTAGAGAACTCACTGTCTTCCAGAGATATCATCCAATGTATGACTTATATTGAAGAATCTAACTCAATAGAAATAATTTAAAAAAAAAAAGATAAAAGAAACTGGGTTTGGAGGAGAACGGAAGAAGGCAGCTTTCAGAGTAAATGTGAATCTGTATCCCTCACTCATTCTACCTCCTTGCAGAGATCATGTTTACCCATAAAGGGAAAACATGAGTAAGATATTTTCACCATAAATGTCACTGTTAGGAGCAAAATAGGGTCCCTGGCTGACTCAGTTGGTAGAGCATGCAACTCTTGATCTTGGGGTTAAGATTGAGCCCCATGCTGGGGGTAGAGATTACTGAAAAATAAAAATCATAAAAAAAAAAAAAAAGGCAAAACAGATCTACTGAACTTTGTTTTGTTCTTTTACCTAACCAGGAACTGGTTTTCTCTGTGGCAGGTCTCAGTGCCACTGATGCAGTTGTGGAGAGAAAGTAGTAAATCCAAGGCTTTTGTGGAATGGAAACTGGTTGACTGTTTAAAATGGGAAGTTGGGTCAGAGATCGTGTTATGATCTTGTTGGTATAGCGGGGCCCATGGTGAAATTTTAGAAGTGATTAGCCTGTGGTACGATGATAGGTGATTTTCTAAATGTTGTTTTTTATAAGATTGTTCACATTTTCTATGATATGCCTGTAACACCTTATACAGTTTGTTCTATATACCCATAAGACTTTTTAAAAAAAAGTTTTACTGAGAAGTGAGGAACATAACATCTAACTTACCCCCCAAAAGGATATTTTTTTTGCATAGTTGCAGGGTCATGCAGCCATCCCTGAGGTCCAAGTTAGAACATTTTGTCATGCCGGAAGGAATCCCCGTTAGTAGTCGCTGCCCATTCTCCTGTCCCCAGTCCTTGGTAGCTTCTAATCTACTCTATCTGCACGGATGTGCCTGTTCTGGATGTTTTATAGGAATGGCATCATGTGGTATGTGAGGATAACTTGTTCACATAGCGTAACGTTTTCAAGTTATAAGATGCAGCAGTACTTTACCCCTTTTTATTGCCACATAATATTCCAGTGTACGGATAGAGCACATTATTTTAACCCATCGGTTGATGGACAGTGGTGATCTTTTCCCCCCACGTTCTGGTTGTGAATAATGGTTTTGTGAACATTTGTGTGTGAGTTTCTATACGGGCGTGCATTTGCATTTCCCATGGGCACATACCAGGGGCAGATGGCCGGGTCCTATGGGAACTCTGTTTCTAGCACTTTTTGGAGTGGCTGCGCTGGTGGACGCTCCAGGCGGATGCGGGTTCTGCTTCATCCCCTGCCTTGCCCGACTTGCATTTTGATTATAGTCGTCCTTGGTAGATAAGGAGCGGCATCCTACAGTGGCAACTCTATGACTTTTAAATTAAAAAAGTGGTAAAATGTTTTTAAAGATCCAGCGCAAGGAAGGAAAAGGAGACAGGTAAGTGCATTGAGATGTGTGCCATTGAAAGCATCCGCCTGCCATTAAACTGAGAAGACCGGTTGGGAGCCCTGTAACCCATTGGCAATTTCATTGCAGGTGGCCTCCATGCAGTTCATTAATATCGTAGTCCATTCAGTGGAAGACATGAATTTCAGAGTACACCTCCAGTATGAATTTACCAAGCTAGGCCTGGATGAATACTTGGATGTAAGTAGAGCCGCGACCTTTGGCTCCAGTGTAAGACTTGATTTATTTTGCCTGCCTTCAAAGATGGGCTTCCGCCATGACTAACAATCGCTTGAAGCTCTATGCGGTCCGGTCCCATAGTGCTGGGTAAAGGGAACCTCTCCGAGTGATGCAGTCGGCCAGAGAAACTGGATTCTTGTAGACCTCCTGGGACCTTGGGCTGTGTTCTGCTAGCAGTCTTTTAGTACTGGGGCTGGACAACCTCTTGTAGCCTTGCTTCAGCTTTCCTCCACGTTTGAGCTCCGTCCAGGCAAGTCTTGCACCCTCATCTGGGCTCTTGGGCAATCCATGTTCTTGGTTAATTTGGGGACCCCATCAAACCAAGACTTCAAAGAGTGATGAGTAAATGCTGAGAGCACCAAAAAAAAAAAAAAAAAAGGAAATGTACACTAGAGACTTCCTCATGTAGCAATTACATTCTGTTTAATGCTTTTGTGGCTTTGGCTGTTCCTTTTTTTTTTTTTAGATTTTTTTATTTATTTGACAGACACAGCAAGAGAGGGAACACAAGCAGAGAGAGTGGAAGAGGGAGAAGCAGGCTTCCGGCTGAGCAGGGAGCCCAATGCGGGGCTCGATCCAAGGATCCCAGGATCATGACCTGAGCTGAAGGCAGACACTTAACGACTGAGCCACCCAGGCACCCCTTGGCCATTCCACTTTTAAGTTCTTGGGAGAAGGAGGTCTAACCTTTCTCTTTCTCTGACTCCCCAGCAGAAGTACTTAGCCAGTTCCCTGTAGTACTTTACCTAAGAAATAGCAAGTTGATGTGAAAACCGTGAATGGACTTGAGTAGCCATGTGTGCATAGGGTGCCCTTATGTCCTTTGATTCTTGAGAAGTTTTGTTTCCCTTCTGTACAGCAGTGGTCTTGAATTTGAAAGGCCACTCGCGAGAGGGCAAGAATTGTTAACCTCAATTTCCAGTCTTATTTCTAGCCACGAAGAAGGTAGAAGTGCTTCCCTGGGAGCTCTCGAGAGTTTAGCTGCCCGTCTCTGTTAGGGGGGAAGCCAGGGAATTACAGTTTATTGTGAAGCAGAGTCACAGCATCAGTTACTCTCTGAGCTCGTGGCCTGGATCAGCACACCAGCTAGGCTGCCCTTGGAGAGACTCCTGTTGTCTAAGGATGGTACTCAGAGAGAGGCATGACAGATTTCCGTTATAGAGGTGTTTGAATTGTTTTCTGACTTGAAGAATCACTAGTATCTTTGACAGAATTTGGCACTGAAAGATTTTCCCTGCTCTACAATCAAGGTTTCTCTTTCTGCTTTCCCTGCCTGCTCTGAGAGTGGCAGGATTTGAGTGCCCACTGGGTGTATCAATCGCTAATGGTCGTGTGGGTTCAGTTTTGTGATGGTTGTGCAAAGCGCCTTTGGGCTCCAGGCTGTGATGGCGAGAGGAACACATCAAATAGTGCCCGTTACCCATGGTGTACTTGGTGAGAAAACCTGCCTAGCTCCTGCTTTATTTTCCTTTCTGGAAAACAAGGGTTTTGCCCTTGTTCAGATGTCTTTTTTAGCATATACTCCTAAACTAAGATGAAATACACTTTCTTTGGGACAAGCTAAGTTACTGAATTCCAGATTAGACCAAGGAGAAAATCCATCTTTCTGAGAATTTATGTAGAACATAATTCCTCTGAAAAATTTAAAGCTTTTTTCTAAAACTCTGTTTCTCTAACTTCTTGGTGTGTTGGTGCTAGACCCTGATAGAGGTGGTTAGAAGATTAATATTATCAGCATATGATATGTAAATGCTTCATTGGTTTACAAAAACCTTGTAAGTGGCCATTGATTTGTTCAATATATGTTTTTTGGTATCTTCCCTATGCCAGGAATATTTTAGCTACTCATCTGTTTCCCCCAGGGGGAGGTCAGGACGTATGTTACTTGCAAGGAAGACTCACAGATTTTCTTGATCGCTAATTTCACCTTAAAGCTGGTTGACTTCCTTTGGGATGCCTGGGCCTGTAATGCAGGGAATAGAGGAAATCTTCCTTATCTGTGCTTTGGGGAGCCCTAAACTCCATGAGTATTGTGGGGAAGTTACCTTGGAGGGTGGATTCTAGCAACTTATTAATAAAACCCAGGGCTGATATACTCCATCCGTGTCTTCCCCACCTCCTGCCTAACCCTCTTCCTCAGTGGAACCGCCCTCTCTAGTCAGGCAAATTACACTGACTCTAACCTCCTCTGCACACAGATGCCTCTCAAACCTGGGACCGTTGCTGTCTTCTGAAGCTGCTTCTTAATTTTTCTGTTGTCTAATTTCACCTGTATCAAAATGTTCTGGTTTGGAATATGTCGATATGGGGAATATATCTGTAGGAAGGATTAGGGAGGAAATGTGTGTATATCTGAGAGAGGGTATTCGCCAGGAAGTAATCTGACGGTGGCTTCTTAGACACTTGAACACTCCGTGATTGTCTCGAGGAGGCTGAGACATCACACCCTCTCTTGGAAAAGACCACAGTGTTTGGAACAAACAGAGACATGTAGGCCGTCGTGCAATTACGTTCTCTTTCCACAGCTACGCTCACACTGCCCTCTCTTGGTGTTTTGGTTTTTAGAAACTGAAGCACACGGAGAGCGACAAACTCCAGGTGCAGATCCAGGCTTACCTGGACAACGTGTTCGACGTGGGAGCTCTGCTGGAAGACGCCGAAACCAAGAATGCAGCCTTGGAGAGGGTGGAAGAGCTGGAGGAGAACATTTCTCATGTAACTACCTCTCGGAAAAGGAGACACACACACACGCTTAGCTGTTAGGGCGGTCGGTGACAGGATTCGGAGTGTAGGGGTGAGCTGTAGCTGGAGAGAGAGAGCTGTCAAAAGCCCCTCGGGGTTCTTTCAAAGAAAGCGTGGCTGTTACTTAAATCCAAGGGGAGTCCGTTGCCTTGCCTTCGCTCGTCTGCTCGGTTTCCGCTGAGCCCAGGTTCCCTGGCCATCTTCGTTACAGACAGGCACCCAAGAGTGAGGTAATTGGTGCCGTGTTAGGGGGAAATGTCACTCGAGTACGTGAATCTGGGCTGAGGTGAAGAAGTCCTGTTCTACTTCTTGTTCTTCTGAACAGAAGTCATTTTGTGTCACACGTGCCCCCATAGGCCCATGGCAGTTGGGTTCTAACAACTCAAATAAGCCCCAGGACTAATGGACTGTTACTTGTGTCTTCCCGCCTCCCACCTAACCCTGTCCCTCAGTACAACTAGCATGGCTGCCCAGGCAAGATACCGCCCACTTCAGCCTCTGTGCGAGTTTGGTTTGATGTGTCAATAAGTTATATTTCACTCAGAGTCTTGTGAATGTAAGTCCTGCTCTACCCCAGAGTGTCCACACAGGCTGGTGGATGGGGCGGTCTTGTGTCCATGATGCATGTCTGCACAGTCTTGCCTTATGCTTATTCAAGTTCTAAAAAGATTCTTTTCAATAATAGGCCTTTTCAGGGAAATTGGCGAGTGTTCCCTTCTATCCTCTTCGAGCAGTGTCCTCTCTGTATAACCTCAACTCCATTTCAGGGCAGAGGCTCATTTTTTCTTGCCGCAGACAGAGCTATGAGTTTGAAGGCTTTCAGAGGCTGTTCATGTGATCATCCATTACGCAGTTATTTGAATATTGCAGGAATGAACAGAAAAATGGTGCTTCTTAAAGACCCAAGTGTTGTGAGGACCAAATTCTTTGTTGAATTCTGCTTGACAGTGTCCTTGGTTATAAATGAATGGTCTCTTTGCAGCAATATTATTTTCTCCCATTTGAGTGGTCCGTTTCTTTTCTTTCACATTTTCTTAGTTCACAGTATCAGATGTGCTCAATGTCCTTCACCTTCCCCCCTCACTCTGAAAATGAGCATCTTCTTGGCTGTAGTTAAGCCAAGTGAGTGAGCCAACCCTCCCCCCAACCATCGTGAGTGCTGCTGTGACGTGACTGGCACCTGCTTAGGAAGGACACTTACCGGCCTAGTGTTTCTTACCCTGAAAGATTTGACTCGTATTCTGAACCCGATCAGCGTTTTCATCTCCATGCTTCTTCCTCACCTTGCCCCCTTGGTTTTCTTTCCTTGTGATCTCTTCTTTCCTTGCGATCATTTTCAGCGAAATCCAAGGTTGCTCACTTTCAGAGTCTTGTGGGAAAAGAAACTATGTAACATGTGGTTCACCCTGTCTTCCTCGGGAAGCCTCAGCCAGCATCACATGACCAAAGTCACACAAGCCACTTATAGCGGGCCGGCTGTTTATTTGAACTGCCCCTCCAAATGCCTTTTATTATTTGGGTAGTTTGGATCAAAACCAGCAGTACTGTTTTCTTACCTGGTTTTCCATAATAACAGAACCAAGTTTTGTGGACCGATGATTTTCAAAAGCTCTTGCCTAATGGCCTTTTCTTCGGGCAGGACAGGTGACCTTCCCTTCTTGCCTTACCCACTGTCCCCCACCCTTGCCAGCTCTGGCAGAAATGGAGGGAGATGGCACTAAGGAGCTGATGTTATGGGTTTTATTAAGGATCATGTGTAGATTATTAATTCCTATTGGAAACAAATACACATTCCAAATCCTATTATAAATATTAATATTTCCAGAAAACAGCTTGGGGAACACAGGCAGGACTCTGATGGGCCTTGAGCTGCACTCTCTCTGAGAATGGTTTTTGAGCTTCACTTTCTCTGAGAACCGGGGACCTGAGCAGAATGATCGTGTGTTGTGACCCAGGTTTCCCTTTTAAAAAACTTTACAGTTGTCTGAGAAACTGCAGGACACGGAGAATGAAGCCATGTCCAAGATCGTGGAACTGGAAAAGCAGCTCATGCAGAGGAACAAGGAGCTGGATGTTGTTCGGGTAAGTGTGCTGATGACCGCTGCCCCGGATGGGCATTGCGGGAAAGGTACACTGTACCGGCTCTAGTCCTGGTAGAATGTGGGGCACGTTCATGTCAGAGGATTGCACTGATGCAGCATGTTTATTGGAAGCATTTCAGAGGGGATACTCAGATGAAAGGTACACACAGTTAGGGTATATATACACATGTGTGTGCAATCAAATGTTGGGGGTTCAGTCCTTATCCCAGATTTTGAGAGTAACAATATTTTCCCAGAGCTGATTTAGTGGATCACCCATTAGCTTGGAGATAAAAACACAGAACGGGTTTAATTCATGCCAATTACTTATTTTTATTAGGACTTGGACTTCTTTGTATTTTCTTTTGCTTTGCTTCTACTTGAAACCAGATTTGGTGGTTGCCGTAGAAATGGTGAAATCAACACAGGCAAGACCTAATGTAATTCACCAAAAAAATTAAAAAAAAAAAAAAAGACAAAGCAAAACTAAACCATTTTATTATCAGATAATCCCAGCTATTTTACTTGGCCTTAGCGTTGTTTTACCTTACGTGTCAGGTATTTGTAGAGTGCTGTCCGTGTGCTTAGAACTGTCCAGAACATAAAATCACCAAAACGCCTGGAGGGCTTTCAGGCACACGGCTTGCCTTTACACCATTGTTGATGAAATGGCACATTTTATGCGATGCTTATCATGTCTGTGTGTGTTGCTTGATTTTCTGACATGTCCTACAGTTACCTCTAGGAAATTTATTTTTTGGCACACCATGGAAACAAAGTTGCAGCATATGGACTCAATTCAAGCCAGACTCTCAGATTATTAATAATAGACAGGGTGTGAAGAATGTTTCCCTGCCTGCTGGAGGTTTGTGGTGAGAGATCACATGTACAAGACCCAGCAAGCAAGTTCCATAAAATCCTTACACTGGGACCTTGGTGGGCCCCCAGTAAAAGGAATGGGGATGGCCTTTAAATTGAAAATTGTAACTTTTTTGTTTTCTGCTAGAAGCCTAGACAGGGCTAAGTAATCAGTAGAGGGAAGCACTGGCCTGTTCTGTTAACTGCATACCAAAGGGAAAACGTTACAAGGATTGCTGTCCTAAACTTGGTCAGGGGGGCGTTGTGAAGGCCAGAGAACCCCATTCCAGAACAATCAGCCCCTGGTTATTCATGAGTAGATTATTCCGTGCTTTGCAGATTTTTAATCCCAGTCTGACTTCTGTCCAAATCTGACTTAGGGCCTTTTGTCTACGGTTAACCGATATGTGTCTCAGAGTTACAAATGAATTTTAAAATAAATAAAAGGAAAACATGCCGCCCCACCCGAATACTCTCAGAGTTTCCCAGAGTCAGCTATAAAATTATTTTGGGGTCATTTCTGCCTTGTTCTTCTCCACCTGCAGGGAAAATTGAGTTAGCTGCACTTCTTAATAGAACTATATTGACAGTAACAATTGCTAGAATATATTGCATGCATTACCAATGAACAACTGATAATGAATGGGATTTTATAGGATCTGGCTGAGTTCCATAGGATTCCTATGAGTATCTTTTCTTTTCTTTCCTTTTCCTTTTTTCTTTTTCCCTTTCCTCTCCTCTCCTCTCCTGTCCTCTTCTTTTTCTTGATCCTCAATTTGCCATTCTCATGGTAATAGGTATGAATGTCCTGTGAAGATAACACTGTTGACTGTGGACGCTTTTTGCAGGAAATCTACAAAGATGCAAATACCCAAGTTCACACATTAAGGAAAATGGTCAAAGAAAAAGAAGAAGCCATTCAAAGACAGTCTACCCTGGAAAAAAAGATTCATGAACTGGAGAAACAAGGGACCATTAAAATTCAGAAGAAAGGGGATGGGGACATCGCCATATTGCCAGTCGTGGCTTCTGGCACATTGTCCACGGGGTCAGAAGTGGCAGTGGGTAACTTTGTGGGACCAGTAACGGGGGCCGCCTCCTCGGGACCCCTTCCCCCCCCTCCTCCCCCACTACCTCCATCGTCAGACACACCTGAAGCAGGTAAGAAGCCTTGGTGGGAGAACTGAGAGTATCGGGATATTTGTATTTCTTCTTTTATCCATTCTCCGTTTATGTCCTTTGTCTGCTTTTGTTGGCTGGTTCTTTATCTGATTTTAAAAACTGATGTTTTTAAAGAGATTAAGCTTCTAAAGCTGAAGCTTTCACGTATATTGCAGTATATTCTTCATTTGCCAGTGGGATTGTATAGTCTTTGAAAAAAATTCCTGTGTCCTTTTCAATGTTTTGTTTTTGGATACTTAATGTGCACGTGACATCCTGCTGGTGAAACCCTTCCCCTGTTTTCAAAGGCAATTTGTTTCTTCTTTTTCGCTAGTGCAAAATGGTCCGGTCACGCCACCCATGCCGCCACCGCCCCCGCCCCCGCCCCCTCCCCCACCTCCTCCCCCGCCGCCCCCTCCTCCTCCTCTCCCCGGCCCTGCAGCCGAGACTGTGCCTGCTCCTCCTTTACCACCCCCTCCTCCTCCCTCTGCACCCCCGCTGCCTGGGACATCCTCACCCACAGTGGTTTTCAACTCAGGATTAGCAGGTAAGAGCACGGAATTCAGACCCAGGTACCTGTGTTAAGAAATACCCACTTGTGTTACCTCCAGAGGCTTTTAAAGCCTCGCTGAAAGTCCGGGTCTCTTGCAAACCCGTGTACCTCCTCTTAGTTGGAGAGCAGGGCTGCTGATGTGGCCAGGGCAGGGGAAGCCTGCACAGAGGCATTCGTCTCTGGGTAGCTGCTGCTGTTCTCCCTCTAGCAGGCAGTTCTGATTTTTGCAGACTTCTTGCCTTCCACTCTCAACACCTAGAAAAGGGAAGAAAGACAAGTTCCCTTCTTAGGGATCAGCGCATTTTCCTGGATTCATCGACCACTTGTGGGCATCTGTTTGCCGGGGCTCTGACAAACGGTGCTTCTGGTGCTCTGGCTCTGTTTTTGGAAGGTATTCACGGTGTCATTTCCAAAAGGGCAACATGGCTCTCTGTGTCATTGCTCGATGTGGGCTTCCAGGCGCGTCTTCTGTGCGTTTGAAGACATCAGAATTCACTCTAGTGCAACTGAAGCTTCAAGAGAAGCATTGCTAACAGTGGGATCTCCGTGCCTTGAAACGCTTCTGAATCGTGCCTGCTGCCCTCCTGCTAACCAGGAGAGAATGCTGCATCCCCACCTCATGGGAAATGAAATGGGGCATGTGTGGGATGGGAGGGAGAGAGTAGTTCTAATGCCTTGAAATGGAAGTTCTGATTTTTTGACTCATGGAAGTGACTTCTTACTCTTTTCTAAAATACCACAAGCCATTTTCCCTGTCATGGAGCATTTCCCTGGCATTTTGAATAGCTCTGAGCTTAGTCGGGCCATCTCCGTGACCTCAGATAATTCTGCTTCCTCCTTCACTTCAGTCCCTTTATGAGGTCTCATTTCCAATGAAGAACTACCACTGTGATAGGTGCGGTAGTTCTCAGAGCCTTCTGTCCAATGTCTAATGGCCGTCTTAGCTGTGAGAGATTTCCTGGACTGCCCACCCCATCCCCCAGAGTGTCCCATCAGCGGCTCTACTGGCCAGTCAGTAGCACTAATTCATCCTAGTAATCGAAGGTCTTTGGGCCCCAGAAATCCTCCCAGAGCCACGTTGTTCCACACCGAGTCTGTTGTGTTTCCTTCCACTCCAACTTCCATAAACTTGTCCAGGAAACAAATAAATAATGTTCACAGGGTTGCCTAGATAACTCAGAGTCCTGGGATCGAGTTTCGCATCAGGCTTCTCAGCGGGGAACCTGCTTCTCCAGAGAACTCTGCTGCTCCCTCTGCTTGTGTGCACGCTCTCTCTCTCTGACAAATAAATAAATAAAATCTTAAAAAAAAATAATGTTCACAGTAATCCAGTGATTTAGTTCTACTGTTCAAGGTCAGTCCCATCTACTACTTTCTTCTAGAACCTTTTGCTTCCTAAAGCAAAAGTGGAAGGTGTGCCATCATGGAACTGTTGGATTTTGGAATGTGAGCCAAGAACCTCTTAACAAGCCCAGGAGTCCCTTCCATGGGAAGGCTGCTGTCAGCCATGGAGTGTGAAGACCTATAGTTGGCATGCGAACCTGGCTCACGGATGAGGCTTCCCTCGTAGCATCCTGAGAGCATTCACCATGGCCCGTGGCTGCTTCGGTGGCTCTTGTCCGTACCACTTCCTTTCTCTTTGGCACAACCTACCACGATAGAGCCTCTACTTCCATTCATCCAAGCTTTCACACCTGGAACTTGGCATGAGGCTGAGGTGTGCAGGTCTAGGGCTCCCTTCAGTAATGTGTCTTGTCCTCTCCGGACTCTTCCCACAACTCAGTTTTAAACACTTGCAGTCTCTCTTGATTACCTCAACTCTGTGGTGTGGAACTTTCTGTTCAGCTAATGACCAGCTGCTGCCCTCAGGGTTGCTGCTGTTCGAGGGTGTCCCCTTTGTGTCTTACACCATTTTTAGAGGGCTTTGTGGGACTTAAGAAACTTCTCTTTGGTGCCGTAAGTGTCCATTAAACAATGACCAGATGTTCTGTTTTACAAGCTCTAAGGATTATAAGACCATTATGTAGTACATTATATGAGATGTGTTGCCAGTGTGTGGGGTAAATTTCTCCCTGGAATTAAGAGGCCAGACAGATTCAGGATTCCCAATAGAAGCAAGGGACAGAGCTGAGATGATATGCCACGGGCTCCTGGAACCAGAAGCCTGTGACATTGCTAAGCCTTGGACCCTTGGGCAACAGGATGGCCTCTCTCTTCTGTAGGCAGTGAGCTCTTATGTGCGTAGTGGCCAAGACAGGGGACCTGAATGAAGTCCTCTAATTTTATCTAGTGAATTTTTCTTTGCATTTTATAGAGAAAATATACAGCATGGAATGTATATTTGAAGCGTTAGGCTTACTTCCTCATATCTGTGATAGAGCAGCGTGGCTCCCATTTCCCATCGGTCATGTGTGACAGATGGCTGGGCAGTCTGTAACCTTTGCTGTCTCTTTGGGAAAAGGTGCATTGTAAGTTCACAATGAGAATTTGTACTTGGCCGATGATTTTTTTTTTAAAAAAACATGGCTTGTATCTTATGGAATACATAGCACAGTTCAATATGGCTGTTTGGGACCACGATAATGAAATCATTTTTTCCCCTCTTCTAAGAAGGATTACTTTTTAAAACAGGATAGCGAGTGAGTCTTCAAGGCAGGCCCGAATGGAAATGAATTTTTGGCTCTCTGCTGCCTTGTGAAATATGTCCAAGAAGCATGAAATTCTCTGCTAAGAGTGCGTGAACTGCCGAGTGGCTTGACTCTAACCATATCTAATTTTTTTTTTTTTTTGTATTTTCTTGTTCTTTCTGCTTCCACAAAAGATGGGCCAATCAAGCTTTTCTGTAGGTTGCTCCTCACTGAGTGTTGTTTGCCGTGTGTTTCTGTTGGTCCCACTGTGCCTTGACATCTTTTCACTCCCATCTTACACTGAACCATCGCATTTGGACCTTGTATGTGCGGGGAGTCTTGCGTTGGCTGACTATTGGTCCAGGTTTGCCCACACATTGTAGTAAAAGAGAATAAGGCTCTGTAAGCAGGCAGCCTGGGTTTCATATGACATATTCCTTTCTCCCAGAGAGAAAAAGAGTGTTTTTGGTGTTTTTTTTCCCCCTTAGTTTAATGGTCAGAGCTGAATCTAAGGCCTCAGCTCTAGAAGGATTTTAGACTTATTCTGGGGGAGAAAGGATAGTTGCTCCACAAGCCGCGAGGTGCTGCTTTTCCAGGCCCTTCCCGCTGGCCTCTGGCTCTCTCTATGGAACACACGCCCACCCACACAAAGCCACTCCTTTAGCCTGAATGCTGTGAGCACAGTGTCTGTCATGGTCACCTGTAGGCCCCTCTGCTATAAACCACTCCCCATTCCCCGGTCGGAGTTAAGACAACTTTCTAAAGATAACATTTTTTTTTTTTTTGGCCTGTGTTCTGATCTCAGGCTTACTCGTAATTTTTCTGATGAGTTCAGAGTAGGGTAGCTGCAGACGGGGTAACGTTCAGTGCTTGTCCTAGGGCCCGTGGTGTCCATGGATGTATGGCGGAACCAAATGGCAAGGACCCGCCAGCTCAGATTGTGGGAGTATCCCTGCACAGCTTCTCTCCTGCTCCCCCTTCTCCCTCCATATGCCAGGCTAGAGGAGAGTCTCTTCCTTTGTCCCGCAAAGGACACGGGTTTTCCTGGGCAGTGTAGACCAAAATGAAGTGTGGTGAGCAGTCCAGCACCCGTCGGGTGGTGGGGCCTACGGGGTCATGGCGGTAGAAAGGCCTGGTTTGGCAAAAGCTATGTTTCTGTGTTCCTGCATGCTTTTGTGTGGATTTAGCAGATGACGTTCCTGCTGTGTATGTGGCCTTCGTAACTCTGGAGGAATGGCAGGCAGCCAGGGAAGAGCCCAGTGTGTGTTGGGTTTATTTTGTTCTGTACTGTCCTTCTCCCTCCCTTACTGATGGCAGTACACTAATGATGGCAAATAGTGGAGCTCCCAAGTAACGTGGTGGCAGCCCAGGACAGACTTAAGAAAATATATGTGTATGTATGTATGTGTATATATGTATACGTATACATATATGTATATACGCGTACACACATACATACATGCATATATAGACACACACGTGTGTGTGTCGATGGTTTGGGGAGACTTCTTTATGATGTGTAATGAATTCATGGAATTTTTAATGAATTTCCTTTTTTTTTTAAGCTCATTTCCCTGCAATAAGAGGAGTTGATAGTTCCTCACCTGCTCCCTCAAAGATAGATATCCCTTCTTCTGCATTAAGAGGTTTTCTGTGTTTTTCATGGGTTCATGGGTGCCTTTTAGTCACATGTAACTGACTCCTGGGGAGAACTTGCTCTTTAAAGAAACAGGGAAGGGACCGTGGCCATCCTCAAAAAGCAATACTAATCCTGATTTCTGAGTACCCCTTCTGTCATCTTAAATCTTTTCTATTTTGAGCTGTTCGTGGCCCTTGACCTGGTTGAAATAGCTCAGTGTCAATATAATCCCCATTGTCAAAATGGTCCATGAGAATGCGTTGCTGCAACAGAAAGCCGGCCTTCTTGATGTTACGTTCCTGGTGGGGTAGAGAGCCGCTGCCTGCAGTCTCTGATCGTCTTTAAAAATTGGTTTGGAAATATGAGTTCTAGAACCAAGAATATAGGATTTCATAGTCTGACTCACACTCACTAGTGTCCCAGAGCATGTGTTCTCCCTGCTGTCTAATAACATTATTAATCATTTTTGCTCCCCAATACTTTGTCTTAAGCATTGTCCTAACATTGTCGAGTGTATGGCAGTAATCCATTTGTCTACATTTAAAAAAAAAAAAAAAATCAACCCCTGGCTGTTAGACAACTTTACCATCATGTTGCATCAGTCAACCAAATGATGCCCTCAGATTGCTCTAGCCAAAGCCAGGCGTGGTGTTTTCTGTGCTTATAAACACTTGGGTGCCTCTTGCCTGTGTTCCTCCAGTGTTAAAGTGTCATCTGCAAGGACTGTTCCCTGATTGTCCTTGAGGATCATGGGGTTTTGGTGGAGTCTTAATTTCAACCTCTCTGACTTCTGTAGCTGTGAAAATAAAGAAGCCAATCAAGACAAAATTCAGAATGCCAGTTTTTAACTGGGTTGCCCTGAAGCCAAATCAGATCAATGGCACGGTCTTCAACGAGATTGATGACGAGCGGATTCTGGAGGTATCTTTCTCGTGGGTTAGGGACAGGGAGGGCTCTCTGGGCAGCAAAGCTGAAATCGGTGCTCTGCTAACCTGGAAGGTTCGGTGATACAATGTTAGTGTTTTAAATGCCTTGATGTAAGGAAGACAAGGATTTTTATATTAGAGAATGAAATTGGACACTGTTTCGTAAGGTGGTTTCAAAACTGTGTTTAAGAAGTTATGTTACCATGGAGTGGTTATGATTATGCCCTGCCCTTCATTTATAAAAGGGCATAAAAAAACCCTTTATTGAACTCTCAGTGAATAAGAACTCAGTAATCATACAGTCTGGTTTGATAGATAGTTCTAGTCTGTGGTGGCCGGCCCTGCAAGGTAAGTAGTGAAGAGCCGTTGAGTTGTCCAGATGGGATCAGTTCTCTAGTTGAGACGTTCGTAGCTGTATGTGTGGCCTAAGTCGTGTCGTTATGATTCGTGTCGTAGCACAAATAGGAAAATAGAGTAAGCCATGATCAAAGGCAATATTGACTAGAAAAAGTCAGTTCTTTGATGCTTATACTTAATTTTTAAGTGTAACCTGGTTTGTCTATCTCATCCCTCTCTACTCCAGGATTTAAATGTGGATGAATTCGAAGAAATATTTAAGACGAAAGCCCAAGGTCCTGCCATTGATCTGTCTTCAAGCAAACAGAAGATAACACAGAAGGGGTCCAACAAAGTGACATTACTGGAAGCAAATAGGGCCAAAAATCTTGCCATAACGTTAAGGAAAGCTGGAAAGACCGCCGATGAGATATGTAAAGCTATACATGTGTAAGTTCAGGACATTCTGGAACATTCAATCTAGTGAATTTAGGATAAAAATAAAAATAAGGAAGTTATGATTTGTAGATAACAGAAATATCTCAATAGTAGGACAAGATGGAACAATTCTTGATGTCCACATACCAAAGTTTTCCTTTGTTACATATGTGTGATTTCAGAGTTGAATGGAATGCTAGCACTAAGGAGGCAGGCCAGAAATCACCCTTGGGAGTGCTGTACTTGAGTGAAAACTATTTTAGAAGAGTAACAACTGGATTGTGATATCATTTGTTAACTTTGTTAACATTGTTAACTGGGTTTGCTTTCCAGCAACTCATACCTATGAAGAGTGGAGAATTACAGATGCTAAGAAAAAGGAGAGACTGTTTGCTCTGGAGTGTCTGAATTTTCTCTTGATTTGTTGAATGCAGATTTGATGGCATTTGTGGAATGATACAATTTAATGCCAGATGCAAATGTGATACAGATGCATATTTTAATTCATTACAATAGGAATGTGATTCCTGTTTCTCTTAGTAGCTTTTGGGAAATTTTAAAGTTCAGTTCTTTTCTTATCCCTGAACTTCAGAGAAGCATTTGTTTTATTTACTTTTCTATGAGAGGAATCTTTCTGCCCTTCTTGTGGCCATGATGACTTTCAAATATGAGAAGGAACAAATATTTTAGGTGTGTTAGGAATGAATCCATTTTAAACTGGTATATTTAAATTTATAAATTTTGGTAAAAGATTCTTAGGGGACTCTATGACCTTCAGAAATCATTTGTTCCAATTTTGTGTCCTCAGTCAGGATCAAAATCTAATAGTCCAGTCTATCCTATATTCTGATGTCTGATGTTGAAACATAATAGGCAGTCTGGATTTTAATCTATATATGCTTTATTCATCATGATGATTAGATGTAATTCTGTTATTTTTGCTGGACAAAGATTGTCCAGGGAAGATAACAGAGATAGTGGCAAATATTCTGTTTGTTCAAATTGAGCATATAGCTAAAAAAAGACCTGATACTCCTTCAAGGGATGTATTCATTTAAGCCAAACATCCATTTAGTACAAGCATTTGGATACATTTATTTTCTAATGTAGAGAAAATAGCCCAGGCTGTTGGTTTAATTGAAAAATATTAGAGTTTACCAGATAGTCTGTAATTGTGCATGTAATATCAGTGTCTCTAATTAGCAGTACTTCACATGCCTTAAGAACCGTGTCCTTGAACCCCTTAACCGTCAGTTGCTTCAGCCTTCCTTCTCATTCTTCCTGTCATTTACTGTTGATTTCTGGAGACGTAGAACTGTAGTACTAGGTTAAAAACCAAGTATGGCTGTTGTGTTAAGGTCTGGGTTCTCAGAAAGGACCGCTGAAGCTGCTTGTTGGGCGGTCAGGAGCCAGTATAAGTGATATCTTCCCCATTCAGCGGTAGACACCATCGGTTCATTGTGTTGGTGCTTGACGAGCCGACCAAATGCTGGTGTGGTTGAACGGGTAGGAGGTTTTCTCTCTAACACTGACTTGTCCACATCTGTCTTCAGATTTGACTTGAAGACATTGCCTGTAGACTTCGTAGAATGTTTGATGAGGTTCTTGCCAACTGAGAACGAGGTGAAAGTGTTTCGGCTCTATGAGCGGGAAAGGAAGCCTCTGGAGAACTTGTCAGATGAAGACCGGTTCATGATGCAGTTCAGTAAAATTGAGAGACTCATGCAGAAGATGACCATCATGGCCTTCATTGGGAACTTTTCAGAAAGCATTCAGATGCTGACTCCTGTGAGTGGACCACCTCAGGCAGGGGAGAGGGTCCAAAGAGATATAGAATCATTTTTTCTTTTTTAGTCTATTCCAGAATTGTACTTCACACCATGGCTGTAAAGACTCCTTCCCAGAACTTTCTAGATTGCATTTTTATTTTGGCCATTTTTTTTTTCCACATTGTATATGCCAACTGAATGTGAAAATGGTGAATTTCCATTTTCCATATTGCTATTCTCCTCCATAGAATGCCATTTACTGTGTCTATGGACGCCCTCTGGGTTTCCACTTCAATACATGGGACTAGGAAAATCATTTTTTCAAACTTATTCCCCTCCCGAAGACACCAATCCTCTGACTGACTGGGTTGGCAAAACTGAAAATGTTGTTTCTAAACACACTTTTGTTAATTACTGATTACAGTAGCATGTCTGTTCACAACATGTTCTCAGGACTTCTGGAGGGTGATCATATTCCTTTGCTCTTTTGTTTTCATTCCTGGACAGCTCCGTTGATTTAAAAATGCACTGTCTTACATGGTTCGAGGTAGTGGGCAGGGGATTGAGTTCTGCTAGAAAATGCTGTTGACTCTAAGCTCTGAGTCCCATCAGTCACAGATTTTGTGATGAGCAAGTTCTGACATTTCTTCTCATTTCAAATACTTCGAGAGAAGAGCTTGCATGTGAAGATACGGTTGCCTAAGACCCTAGCAGGATAACATAAATTTTTTACTTTGAGGAAAAATAGAATCTCAACATTAAAGTTTTAATCTAAATGCAGGTGTGTTTCTTCTGTGTTAAATTTTAGTTTCTAATTAGAGTTTCTTATTTTTAACATGTCTCTTTTTTTCTCTCCCCTCCCCGTCCTTCCTTTGAATGGAATCTAGCAACTGCACTCAATTATAGCAGCATCTGTTTCTATAAAGTCGTCCCAAAAACTCAAGAAAATTCTGGAGGCAAGTGAAGTTTTCCTCATATACGTGTAGGGAAGAGCTGACTCGTCAGCCGAATTCCTTGGCCTGGGATGCTCTACTGATGGGCCTCTCTCTTTCTCTCTCTCTTTTTTTGCAGATCATCTTGGCCCTTGGAAACTATATGAATAGCAGTAAACGAGGAGCAGTTTATGGATTTAAACTTCAGAGTTTAGATCTGGTGAGTGAACTAAAAGAAATACAAGAGCTATATAAAGGACAAAACAGTTGGCAGAGACCAAGTCCCAGAGTCCGCTTTTGGAAATGGGGGTAGGATGTTGTGATGAACATTGCTAGTTGGATGATCAATTGGTATAAATTTTCTGGAACATCATTTGGCATAGACATAGAACATTAAAAATCCTCATGCCCTTTGACCCAGTGTTTCCATGTCATGGACTCTTTCCTCAGGAATCTGAATTATGAATGCTTTATTTATTTTATAATTGCAGATAATAAGCGACAATATGAAGATCCAACATTTTGGGAAATTATTAACTATAATAATAGTTAATATGGTAAACTATTCTTTAACTCTTAGAATGTTTGTGAAGAATTTTCAAAGGAATGGATAATTTTGTGTCTGAAAAAGGGTGTAAATTGCATGGACTGATTGAGTTCACCCAAGTAAAATATGTAGGAAAAAACTGAATGGAAGTAGGTTAAGATATTAACAGAGAGGTTGGACAGAATTAAGGTTTTTTTTTTTTTCCAAAGTGCTTCTTTTTACTTTTCTGTATTTTCTCAATATATATATATTTTTTTTTTCTAAACATGTATATATTCTAAATACATATATGTCATTCACATATATATATAAAATATTATATTTCTGGATGGAAAAGAGTGTGCAGCTTTTCAGTCATCTGATTTAGATGGGCAGGTCTAGAGAAAATCCTCTGTGGAATCCTCTCCCCCAAGGCTGTGTGGGGCTAACGTGGCTTCCACATGAGGAGGTTGGGCAGTGGGCTGAGTCCAGCCCTGGGGAGACACGGCTGTTTGGTAGGGAGTGTCCAGTCGAGTCGCAGTTCTAGCCCGAGAGGGGCATGTGTGGCAAGCCCCGCTGCTGTGTGTCATGGAGGCTGGGGAAGGAGAACGAGCTGAGCTAGAATCGTGCCGACTGCGCTATGGGAGTCCTGCCTTATGGGCAGTACCTGCACGCCCGCCTGTTCTATGCTCATTCCTCTGCTCCTTCACTCTGGAAAGCCCTCAAACTGGTAGCTTCCTACCTTTTGGCCAGGGGAGGTGGTGTGGCAGATGTGCATTGGGTGGTTTCAGGTGAGTGGAGATGTGTGTTGGAATCGTCCCCGACACCGAACATACCCCGGGAGAGAAGTCCTGTGGTCTCCTTTACAAGTCAGTGGGCTGGTTTAGCGAAGAACATGTCCAGGCTTGACCCTCCCATGGGAGGATTTTTTGGTCCACTTTGGGGTGCTGTACTCTGAGTGGAAGGACGTCATGGGGGGTGGCAAGCTCCCCATCCTCCTTCGCTCTAACTAACCCGTATTCCTTTTGTTTTCAGCTCTTAGATACAAAGTCGACAGACCGAAAGCAAACACTGTTGCACTACATTTCAAATGTGGTAAAAGAGAAATATCACCAAGTGTCCCTGTTTTATAACGAGCTTCACTATGTGGAGAAAGCTGCCGCAGGTACTTGGCTTTGGCGCTTCCTGCTACCCTTGGGGATCAGGTGCCTTTAATCACGGGTCCCGGGGGAGCCATCCCCTGCTTGACCGTCTTCGGAACCCCTTTGAAAGGCAAGGCGAAAGTCTGAAGCTCTTGGCCTAGGTGCGTAGGCCGTGGTGTTGCCCACGCCTGGGAGCCGTAGCAACTAGGGACACAAGGGAGACCTCTCTGAATCCTCTGTACAGGGTCGGGGCTCTGGACCTTGGGCCACTTACCTCTTCCTTTCAGTGTCCTTCTCAGTCTGTTGCTGTTGTTGAAACAGAGTGAAGATCTGAAAGTCACCCCCCAAGAAACACTTGAGTTTGATTTTGTGCTGTCCCACTTGCTCAGGTGTGGTAGTTCCCAACATTGTGCCTTTAGCATGAGCACAAGCTAAATTATCCGTACTTTGGGCTGTTACTTTGCCATAGCAGTTATGCATTTTCTCATTTAAATCATCAAGTGATTTTGGGGTAGCTGGCCTATAATGGGTACGTAATGGTATCCCCGAGTTACAGGTGAGAAAACTGACATTTTCAGAGGTTCCATAGCTTGTCCAAGGTTACAGGGGTAGAACGTGATAGAAACAGGACTAGAGCCCACATCTTCTCACTTGGTGTAGTGTCTAATGTAGCATGTCCTCTCCAGAGATCATTCGGCTAGAAAAAGGAACCAGATGCACGTTGACCCCAGAGTTGGTTACATACTGGAATTCTCACATTAGGATCTTGAACCCGGAGCAGCCAAGGTGTTTATTATAAATTCACATTCCCGGGGCCTACTTCAGGCTTAGTGAATTGAATCTTTGTGGGCAAGGCTTTCTCTGACTTCCTCAAAGTAAATGGCTGCTCCGTTTGTGTTGTTACCACAGAGTACGCTGCCACACCACTCTTGCACACAAGATTTCTCAAATTTTATTGTAACAGTTTGCATGTCCATTCCAACCTGTGCATTTATGAATATAATCGAGTTTTCATTATAATTCCCATAGGCCCTTAGCAAATTGCTGGGGGGCAGAGGTAAATGAGTGAGGGAATGAAAGAGATGATGCGGTGCTAACTGGGGACAGATGCCCAGGGAGCCCTAGTGGAGGCGCCCAGGCAGGAGGGACAGAGGCAAGCCAGACTGATGTTTTGACTGTGAAGGGCTGTGAGGTGCAGGCTGTGACAGACCCCCTGAGGTCAAGGCTCGGGAGCCAGTGATTTTCCTCCTTCCAGGCTTCTCTTTGCCTAAATTAGGGATTCTTTAGCATCACTATTAACAAAATTGTGTCAGCAAAAATTTTTGTTTTGGCCGTTTTGTTTGGCCCAACTGCGATTCCCCAGAAGCGCTGGAAAAAATCAGTCGGGGAAGATGGATTTCCAGATGGAGGTTCTCTGGCTGAGTTGTTCTCTGGCTGCCAGGTAAACTGACGTGGAATCTTTATACCCTCACTCCTCTGTCCAGTCACTCCTTTGCCAATCCAGTGAGCCTTTCGGAGTCCCTGCGGTGTACTGGGCACTGTCCTAAGCGCTGAGGAGTCGAAGTTGAGTAAGACTGTGAGTCTAGCAAGGGAAAAACCTGACTGCCTCATGGAATTCATCCACTTGCAGAGCTGAGTTGGGCTGCAGGGGGCCAGAGGGAGGGCCCAGAAGGTACCAGGAAGGTACCTGCTCCAGGAGGGTGGCCACACAGGAGATGGAAAGGTTGGTGCTGAGAAACCCTTCTGAAGCAGGGAAGGGTTCTTTGAGAAAAAGAGGCTGTCCAGGGTTGCTTGGTACTCAATTTGGACATCTCAATGCTGCCCCCTGCTGGAGAGCCCCGGGAATGTAAATGAGGCCGGAGTGCAGGAGGATCAGATCTTGGGCCGCCACACAGTTAAGGAGACTCAGAGCCTACAGCCCAATAGGTTCTCCTCTCCCGGAAGAGAAATGGGATAGCTGGGTATAGTCCCAGGATGTGGAGTCCATGGTTGTTCTCTGAACTCCATTTTGGCCACCTTCTAGCTGTACAATATAGGGCAGGCCACGTAACCTGTTTATGCTGTTTGTTGTTGTTGTTGGCGTATCGAGCTAATAGTGCAAATGAATAGTGCATATGTGGAATCTAGTGCAGTGCAGGATAGTGAGCAGCAGTAAGTTATTCATACGGTAAGGTCTCTGCTCCGAAAGATCTAAGGCCCTAAGGCCCTAGGGTCTAGTGACCCTAGGAATCCACTGAGAACTGGGCATACCAGCCAGACTCGCTGTGCTTTTGACATTCACGGGGACATTGCTGTCTCTGCTTCAGTCTCCCTCGAGAATGTTCTCCTGGACGTCAAGGAGCTCCAGAGGGGCATGGACTTAACCAAGAGGGAGTACAGCATGCACGACCACAACACGCTGCTGAAGGAGTTCATCCTCAACAACGAGGGGAAGCTGAAGAAGCTGCAGGATGACGCCAAGATTGCACAGGTAAGGCGCTGTGCCCTGGCCACGCACAGGGACGTGTTCGGATCCCTTAAACCCACTTGGGTGCTGGCCTGGCTCTGGGGGAGCCTTGCCCTCCGTGTGCAGTGCATTTCTTCTTTAGCTAATGACTCCCTTGGGTGAGCTCTTTCTGAATATTGTCCCTGTTCTGTTCACTGTCCTCTTCTGACGTGGAGTCTTCACGTCTTCTGTAGAGGTCCTCCCTCTCTCTTACCCTCTCCTCTCACTCCTAGGCTCCCTCTGCATGAGGCCGGGGTTCATTTCGGCCGGCGCGCGTCATTCCTGTGCTTCACGAAGCACTTTTCCTTCCCAGCGTGTTGGGTTTCTGTGGGCCTTGACCTCGAAATCTCATGCTCCACCAAGGGTTAAGTCTACAGCCTTGAAAAATAGCCCAAGTGGACTGCATGCCATCACAGAAGGGAAGGCAGAGTGTGGCGGGGACTCAGTGCAGATGGGGTGGGATGGCTTCCCAACGAGGCTGTCCCGTGCCAGGAAATCGTTTAAGCGGAGACCTGAGTGTCCCTGAGGTGGGGACACTGTAAGGCGCATTGAAGCAGCCAGCAGGGATCAGAGTCGGAGTGACTTTTGAGATCCCTCCTAACCCTGTCTTCCGTGGCCTTAGGAAGCTCTTGAAAGAGGTAGTTCCTCGTGTGTGTGTGTGTGTGTGTGTGTGAGAAAGAGAGAGAGAGAGAGATACCTTATGTAGAAACATAGTTGGTCCCAGAGATGAATCCCATGTGGCACTGTTGCCTTCTGCTCACCTTTGCCTCGGCGTTCAGAGGACCCAGGAGACCCCAGAGGGTCGTGGGGTTGGGAGGGGGCCACAGGAATGCTGTGGCAGTGGCTGGATCCCCCCTGCTGCTCTTCCCCCGGAGGTCAGGTTCACATGCTAGACTTTATGAGACTTGAGGAGTTTGCTTCTTTACAGGATGCTTTTGATGATGTGGTGAAGTATTTTGGAGAAAACCCCAAGACGACTCCACCCTCTGTCTTCTTTCCCGTCTTTGTCCGGTTTGTGAAAGCCTATAAGGTAAATAGGAGTGTGGGGTCCTTTCAAGCCTTCCTTGGTGCTGGTCGTCAAGGGGGTGTCCTCCCAGAGCTGCGTCTGATCTCCGGTCTCCGCTGCTGTGTGGCAGCCTCCCACGTTCCTTCAGGCAACAGATCTGGGAGGTCAGTGTGAGTCCTGACAGTCTCCAGTCCTTTGGGGGCTGCGTGTTCCTAGGGCCCTCAGCCTACCATGCTCCCTGTCTCCAGCCAGCCAGGCCTGCGTTTCAGCCTAAAGACAAAAGCTCTTGACTGCCCTTTGGGGCAGAGAAGACGCTCCAGGACCATCCCTTCCTCACTGACTGTTCACTTCTGTGGGGCCGGGTGAAGGACTTAGAAACTCCAGGCTTCCCATGTGGTTGTTGGACAGGTGAAAGGAGTGGCCTCTGGCCTATGGCAAGGGTACTGTAGCTGAGGTCAGGGACATCCTGCCCGTGTATGTCCTGCCCAAGCCGTTAGGTCATCTAGACCAATATTTCTCTGGTGTGGACTGAAGAATGGTGCTAGGAAGAATGCTTGCTTTCTGTTTCCTCATCTGGACCAACAGTGGCCCTTCCTTTAAATAGCCTGTTTGGCACAATCCAGAGCTATGGTCTTGAAAAAGCATGTGACCCAAAGAGGCATGTGTTGGAAGAATTTGTTCCTTGAGAAAGAATAAGTGGGGGTGGGGTGGGGGGAGGTGGTTGTTAGCGGCTGTTAGTGCCCTTAGGAGACACTGCAGGCTGTACTCGCCAAGGTTGTCAAGTATAACCTCAGTAATGTTGGTGGAGGAAGGAGGAGTGTGATTAATAGGGGAGGAGGGATGAGGCTTTTTTTCTTTTTTTGTTTTTTAAGATTCTATTTACTTTGAGGGAGAGAACATGAGTGGGTTTGGGGGGAAGAGGGAGAGGGAGAAGCAGACTCCCACTGTGCAGAGAGCCTGATGTGGGGCTCAATCCCAGGACCTTGGGATCATAACCTGAGCCTAAGGCAGATGCTGGAGAGCCACCCAGGTGCCCCAGGTCATCTACATTTTTGAGAAACAATCTCTTGGATATAGTGGGTCACTTCTCTAGCTCCAGAATCGTCCTTTGGCCTTTTCCTGAAATTCAGAAGGTTACATTATTTATCTATCAGCAAGCATGGCTTCGTGTGGCAGTGATGTCACAAGCTGTTTGCAGAAGGGAAAGGGAGGCTGAACCCAAACACAGGACAGAGACCGTGCGCAGGACACTGGAGGTGGTCTCTGGTCCCCAGCCACTGCTAACCATGGTGCTTGGGGTTCACTGGCTGGAAATGCCTGTGTCCTGCAGACATGACTCACAGTGATTCTTGTTATGTGCTGGGACCACATTTCTTCACATAAAAAACTGTGAGTCTGAGGTCTGTAGAGAAAAATACGGGCTATTTTTAAATTGTAGAATATGAATTGGGAAGTGGGTCTGGTTGGTCCCAGAGCCCGATACTTTAGCAGGGGTATAGCAAAGGAAAAAGCAAAAGTTCCTTGGTGATCTGTGTGGGGTGGCACAGGTCAGAGCCTGTCAGTGAGCCCCTTCCACATTGTCGTTTCACCCCGTGTCCTGTTAGTGGGCTCTGAGGGGTCTCCGTCAGGCAGTGGCAGTGTGGGATGTTTTACTGGCCATAGATACTGCACGATGAATGACTCCCAGGCTAACAGTGACCTGGGGACCTTTCGGGGAGACACTGGGGTTATAGGATGTCATCCCTCCTTTCGATTCCCAAGTCTGAACCAGAATGTAACGTAAGGCGGAAGTAAAGGAGTCCAAAATGTAAACTTTATTCCTGATAATAGCCGGACTGGAGGGTGTGGTGAGTGTCTGTGAGCTTCTACCTCAGCCCTAAACTAGATAACTGACTCTAACGCTTCACAGCGAGACCGTTAGAAGTCTCTTTAGGGAGGCTGGCTTCAAAGCAGACAAGGTGCAGGAGGGCTGAGCAGACGTGAGCCTGTCTTGATTTTCTGTCCCAAACTCATCAGACTAGTCACTCTGTGGCCCTTGGAAAGGAGTGAGCTGTGGGGTGAGACCTCCTGGAGGAAATAAGAGGCAAGGGAATGGAGGTTTTCCCCTAACAATGGGCAGAAGGAGAGGAATCTGAACTCTTGCTTTTGGAAAAACTATAGGTAGGTGGACAGGTTCTGGAAGCAAAACAAACTCACATGGAAATCCCAGAGCAGAGCTGCCTGGATAGTTTCCATCCACGCCTCTGGGACGGGCTGAGAAGCAGTGTGTGTGTGTGGGCGGGGGGTGGTCCTCAGGAAAGACTTTCTGGACAAGGTACATCATGATTGCTGGATATTGAGGAGATGTGATAGAGACCAACAGGGAAAGCCCGAATCAGAGTCCCCGATAAGCCTAAATGTAGATCTTGTCCCTTCCCCTCCACTCTGATGCCTGGCTCGCCAACATTCTCTTAGGAGCCACTTTAAAATACCTTGATGGCTGTCATTTCCACAGACTAATCTTTGGGTTCCTTTGACTTTGCCCAGCAAGCAGAAGAGGAAAATGAGCTGAGGAAAAAGCAGGAACAAGCCCTCATGGAAAAACTCCTAGAGCAGGAAGCTCTGATGGAGCAGCAGGATCCAAAGGTGAGATGTGGCCAGGGCCTGAGACGGCCTCGTCTGAGCCAGCAGGGAAGGGGGGCGAACGCTTTCCTCCAGGGCTTGGAAGCGGGGCTCGTGGATTTGTTGTTCATTCTCTGTTCCGCACACAGTAGAAAGAAGTGAAGAACAGGTGTGTGCAGCTTTTCCGGGCGTACAGAGATCAGGAACTTAAGTCTTGTGGCTGTACAGTGAGGCCACGCCAGGTAGCCCGATGAGAACCTGCGGGGGGCCCAGGGAAGGCTTCACGGGGTCGCCCTTGGTGCAGCCTCCATGGCTGGCTGCTTCACTCCGAGGAACGGGATGGAGGATTCCCGGGAGGGAAGCAGCTCGGGTGCAGGCCACAGGGCTGGAGGTCAGGGTGTTCTTCATCCCCATCCTCTGCACCAAAGCTCGAGAAATGGATGGTTGTCCCCTGCTGCCTCTTGTAGCCGGACGATCCAGCCTTCCCGCTGCCGCCAGCTGGAGTTCTGCGTGGTTTTCCCAGAAAGTTTTTTTTCCCCCAGAAGCTTTCTGAGTGTTTCTCTGAGCAGGATGTTGGGATGGGGCTGCTTGTGTTTTTGGCTGAGGCTGCTTGTCGGTAACAGAATGCTCAGACACAGTTTGGATCTTCTCAAGCCCCCCATGGGTGCTGGTCCCACTCATCTCTGCCATCCTTCTTTCTCCTCAGTCTCCTTCCCACAAATCAAAGAGGCAGCAGCAGGAATTAATTGCAGAATTGAGAAGGCGACAAGTGAAAGATAACAGACATGTATATGAAGGAAAAGACGGTGCCATTGAAGACATTATCACAGGTAAAAGATATTTTCTCCTAGTGGCCCGTAGAGACCCCACTGATCCTGCCCATAGTGGACCCCTTCCACAGCTTGCTGCTTTTGTTCAGAATTTATGAGGTCTTCGGGTGACTTGATGCAGACCCAGAATTATGGGGAAGGATTCCATGCTAGTGTTGGAAGTAGATTTCTAATAGCCTGTATACTGCCTGTCAGAAAACCCCAGCACTCTCTGAGAACTCTTTCCTCATTATCATTGGAACCCCACAGACTTCACCAGGCTCCTCCTCCTCATGGTTTTCCACTGTCTTGGGTTTAGTTCCCTGCTCCATTTTCTACCTTGTGGCCCCTCCCACCCACCTGCCTGACTAATAAGTACCACAGACAAGGCCCATGCAGGGCTGTGTACTAACCACGGTCAGTGCAGGTTTTTCCAGCGTGCTCTTTAAAAGCCTTTTTTACTCATTCAAAGTAACTGAAGACAAGAGGAAATCAGGAGCTAGAGCTTTTGTTCTGATAGGCCAACAGGCTTCTCGGGCTGCTCAGCTAGGAATGAGTGGTGTCTAACCCAGCTTGGTCCTTGTCTGATTAAGTTGTACCTTAATGCTTGCTGCTTGAATCCATTCTCCAGAGATTTCTGCATTCTCTTAGAGTTGGGACAATAATTGGAGCCACCGTCTGTGGCATTGGTTGCAAGTGACTTTCATGTCTGTTGCATATGAATACTGTTTTGTTTTTTTTTTTTTTAGCTTCCAAGATACTTACCACTTTTTTATTGTAGAGAATTTTGAAAAATATGCAATGCAAAAGTACAGAGAACAGCCCGAGGAGTTCTGTATACCCATCATCTTTTAACAATTCTCAACTCATGGCCAGTCTTGTTACATGTCTGCTTCTACTTGCTCCCCATTCCCCAATCTCTGGGATTATTCTGAAGCAAATCTAAGACCTACAATTTCATCTGTATTTCAGTGTATGTGTCTTCAAAAGATAAGGACTCTATGATAAAGCAAACAAACATAGCCAGAGTATCATTGTCACACACCTCCAAAACTAACAACTTTTTAACATCAAGTACACATTAGTCACATGTCCCCAGCTGTCCTAATTCTTTAAGAATGTAACTCTCAGAATTTTGATTTCTCATTTTTTGTGAATAGCTTACCATCATAATTAGGGATCCCCCAAAAGCCAAAACCATTATTTTTGTTCACCAGTTCAAGACCCAAGGAAATAAAATAGGTACATAGATCACTAACAGGAAGTCAATAAGAGTTTCTGGCCTAGCGTAAAGCGGTCTCAGTCGTCAGTGGCTAGGTAAGCGGCTGGTAACATTCCTGTGTCTGTGTATGGCGCACACACAGTCTGTACGCGCGTGCCTGCCCGTGTCTCCTCGTTCACTCTGCATTGGTTTGCACATGGCCCCTCAGGTAAAGTCCCCCATTGTTGGGCACCTCTCTTTGTTTCCCTGGCATTGAGGGAGATGCTCTGCTCTCAGCAAGACTAAGAGCAGGTCTTTTGGGGCTGAGCACCTCTTTGACTCAATGCCGCAATAGGATTAATTTGTTGGGAGAGAAGCATCTAGCCTCAAACAGCAAGAGCTCCTTTTCCAGTAGGCTGCTCTCCATCTCGGTGACCCCTGGGTTATCAGATGAGCAAAATGTACATTATCTATTTGCCTGATCTCACCGTTAAGCTGCTGTTGGAGGTGAATGAGTATCTGCTTACAGATCCTACAGTTTTTATTCTCTTTAAAATATTTTCCGTTTTCCATCCGCCAAGCCCCAGACTGAGAACTGTTTTAGACTTAATGAACTCACTTGGGTGTACGTTGCCTTTTCCCGTCTCCAGGTATGATTAACAAAGCGCTAACCGTGTACTAATGGGATAGATCCTGGCTTTTTACTCTCTTCTGTTTGTCTTATTTGGCTGTCATTTTCAACGCAGTGCTGAAGACTGTGCCCTTTACTGCTCGCTCCGCCAAGCGTGGCTCTCGATTTTTCTGCGAACCTGTTCTTACTGAGGAATACCATTACTAAACTATTACTCTTTCTCACCCGATGCCCTTAAAGGTTGCTACAGATTTTTTGACCTCTTATGTCCCTCTGTATGTCTGTTAGGACCCCCCAGGATGCTAGCATGGCATCTCCGTCTCCGCCATGTTGTAGTTTATGTTGCCTTCACACTGCATGGTTTTGCACGTCTGTCATTACTGTTAACTCACTGCCACTTTCCTGTGTCTGTGAATCCACATGCCTGCGGTGGTCTGAGTGTGTGTGAGTTGAAATAATAGAATTGCTTGTAGAAATTTTTAGAACAATAGTGTAAATAGAGCATGATTTTTGAGAATTAGCACTAGGATCAGCAGCTGAGTGGTTATAAGGCTTTTGGGCTAGTGCCTTTGAGTGCAAAATGATAGTCATTAATAACAATGACTATAACATTTATTGAGCACTTGCTGTGTTTTAATAGGTTTATAGATATTAAACCAACCTCCTTTCTGTATTCAGTTAGCATGCTTTGGTAATAAAATGAGCTGTGTGCAAGTGCTCAGGAATGCAAAGTGCCCAGAAGTTGAAAAAATTTCCAGAAAGAACTGTGAACCACACAGTTGTAAATTGGGACTTTCTTAATTGTCTTATGTCATCTATAGCCATCACCCACAGTGTGGAGCTCACGGTAAAAGCGAGGAACCCTTGGCGCATAGAAGTCTGTATAAGTTGATATAGGCAGTCCATAACGTTATACCCAGCCTCTTTTCCTTCTGGGTGTCATGCCCAAGTTCGGTTACCAGCAGTTCTACACTGGAGCAGGGCTGTGAGGCAGAAAGTGAAAACAAAGGCTTTAGGAACTCCCCATAGTCTTCACTGCGACTCTGTTCCATGTCAAATCCAGGGTATTTCTCTTGTGATGAGATGATATCTGGACCTGCTTTTTAGGTTAGGAGGGTGGCATCCAGAAATACTAATAGCAAATACCTATTATTGGAAAATGCCACTATTCTTAGAAAAAAAAATTCCAATATTTTCAAGAAGTAAACTGCTTGCCCTTGGTTCCTGATGGCTAGATAAGAAACTTCTTTGCAGTGTCCAGCTGAATAGAAGAGGGACAAGGGAAGCCCATACTCTAATTAGAAATAGCTATTATGTAACTCCCATGTTGAGATTGACATGGAACAGGTTACGTGTTTGTTTTGTGGCATTAACTCTTCTGTGAATTATACTTGTTATGTATGTTCCTCTGTCTCTGACGATCTCAAGAGGATGTGGTGCGTTGTTGCTTGCTCTGCAGCATACTTACCCACCTGTGCTTATTAACAAGGCTAGACACTGTCATCTGCTCAGCTAATGTTCCTGTCAGTTTTGTGGCTGGACTATCATTCTGGAGCCAAACTTCAAAGCAGCTTGGATTTGGGTGGTCAGAGAGCTGGGCGGGAAGACACTCTGATCTTTCCCTTGTTTTATCTAACACCTCTTGTATTAATGGCCTCCCATTCTCCTCCCCTGTTGGCTAACATGCCGGGTATGTTAAGCACTAAGTTGAATTGCTTTCCATTTTCATCCCATTTTTACTTAACCATCATTTTGTGTTTTTGTTTTTTTCTGTTTAGCCTTAAAGAAGAATAATATCACTAAATTTCCAAATGTTCACTCGAGGGTAAGGATTTCTTCTAGCACACCGGTGGTGGAGGATACACAGAGCTGGCAAGCATCACTTTTTACTTAGCTTCCTCCTCTCTCTGTATGCAGATCAGTGGTTTCAGTCTATGGCTGAGGGTAATACTGGTGAGAGTCTGACAAGGGAGAAGTTTTTTAACCTCACATTCCAGTGATGTGAGGCAGAGCCTCTCTGTTGGACTCTTTGTGGCCTGCTTCCAAATTATCAAGTGTGATGGCTTGGGCAAGGGTATTTGCTGATGATTGTACTTGCTTTGGGTGCTAGGCTGTCTTTCCTTTACTGTTTTCTTGGCCTCTGAGTTAAATCAGTTAACCCCTTTTGATTTGAGGAAACTGAGAGCAAGTCCTGGCCAGGGAACGTGATCTATAGCCTTTGAAGAAAGATTTGGATCTTCAGACCCAATTGTTCAGAAGACTCGGGAATTAGAGAGCTACAAGTCATCACAGACCCTTAGCCAAAAGTGGAGTTCTGACCTTGCCTTATCATTCTGGGCAAGAAGCAGAAGCTTGAGAGGATTAGGGCATGTATAAAACTATTCTTCCCTTGAATTTAGAAAGAGTGAGGCAGGGTGACTAATTGCAAGGAGTCGGGATTGGTGGGGACTATGCTGAACCTGAGAGCATAGGTCTCAGCACTCACTCAGCTCATTTCTTTTTGCCATGTGAAAATTTGGGCTCAGTATTGCCAGACCCTCCAGTTATCCAAGGGAAGTCAGAAACCCTCTTTCTAAATACTAATTATCTATTAAAAGATCAGGAAATTGTATTGAAAAGTATAAGTTGGGGTCTAAACATTTTGTAGGCCAGATATGGCCCATTGGCTCCATTTTCAAGCTACTGAGTAGGTAAAGGAATAAAAAATTCTGTTGTTGTTTATGTTTCCCCTTTCAAAGATAGATTGTCTCCTAACAGAAGTCAACAAGGTGAAGGGAAATAAATACTAAGTAAATGAAACAGTGGGGCGGGGGGGGGGGGGGGGGGGGGCGGGGGCGGAGTACACCGCCTACCCTGACCCAGTCAGAAGCAGCTTACCTGCTGGCTAGGTTACCTACCTTAAGTATTCATTAAGAAAGCATGATTTCATATTAAGAATGTTTACATAGAATAAAATGTCTTTGTTCAGCCCACTGTATTCTACTAGAACAGTGCCTGCTTGAACCAGTATGCGGTGGTTGAGTCATTCATTCAACAAGGGTTTTTTGTTTTTTTTATATTAGGCATTTTTAAACATTCTGTGCATCTGCAGTACAAATTGGAGAATGCTGGAAGGCCCAAACAACTTCTCCCCTCTAATGAAAAATAGGGGAAATACTGGGTGGTAGGAGACAATATACGGGAATGGAGTATTATTTTGGTTTAGTGATTATTTTTGTTTAGTGATTGGGCAATGTGTTTCACAAAATAAAAAGACGACCTCAGCTAATACTAACTGAATACAAATAATGGGACCTCTGCCTGCAAAATAAGCATAGTGTCCTGTGATTAAAATTCCAGAAAAGATAGGATAGGGCAGTTGGTTTATTAATTTTGCAGTTTAAAATTCATTACAATTATTGATATTCAGGTTCCCAGAAAAAAAAAAAAAAGGACAGAACTAAGCCAAGGCTTTTTCCAGTTGAAGAAACATTTCAAAATAAGACTCCAGCTAGATTCTCTGGCCAGTGACAAGAACAGTTGCCTTTCCTATATATTTTTCTAAAAAGTTCCAGAATCACATCAGTATTACATCCTGCTTTAAATATTGAGGGCAAAGTACATGTCTTTGGCTCAAATACTCAATGAGTTTTAAGGACCTGTTAGCTGACTCTTCTACACAAGCTGCTTTGATTGGCTGCCAGCTGACCTTTGTCTTGCTTGGACACATGATACTAAAGGTTGCAATTCTCTGACTGATCCTCTCCTCTTTACAGATCTTAGAAACCAACCATACAGACGAGCCGATGCGCTGAGGAGAAGTGTCAGACGGCGCCTTGATGATCAGAACCTGCGTTCTGCTAATGGTGCCGAGATAACCATGTGAACCTGAGACCTGCCTGTATGAGTAGAGTATACGTGAATGAAACTTCCCACGTGAACTTTATGTGCTACCATGTAACCGTAACCTTGAACATTGATAAAATATTCTAAGGGCTCAGATTTAGCAAACACATAGGAATTTAAAAATGACGGGCTCTCCTTTCAACCTTTGTTAACAAGTGCCTAAAAGTGGAAGTACCTGCTCAGATTAATCAAAGCAATAGGGTTTGATTTGATTAGGTATCTTTTTACACCAGTGTATTACCCAATTTTTTAACCAAAATGTAAATTTCGTATTACACTCATCTGCCATTATGATTGTCCCATGATGGCACACCCTGGTTTCCTGATAAGTTGTAAATAACATGGATGCAACTGCTGTGGGTTTCCTTTGCTGAGATGTTTTTTAAGGAAAAAAGTTGCTTTTGTGTTTTAGACATATCCATCAACTTTGTTATTTTTAAGGGCTTGCAACCTGGAAGAAGGAAGTCACATAAGCTCCTGTCCATAACCAAGCCCCAGCCAAGTACAAACAGGATGCACTGCAGTGGCACAGAGGTCACTCAACTCTCTCATTTTACATTCTACACTGCTGTACTTGGGTAGGACACCCTGTGAGAGTTCACCAGTATGAATGCAAGGATATGATGGCATACAAATTTGTGTAAGATTTTTTTGCAGTACTGTGTTCTTCAGCTAGAGGCAGCTTTTAAAGTAATAATGCAGATGTATTTATTAATTAGCACTAAAATTAACATCTCAGTAATCAGTATTAGGATTTCTGAGGACCATTATGGGCCTATCCTGAGAGCAGAAATTGGTGCCTTGCTAGCCAGGGAGAAGTTCACTAGCTCTATCAAGCATTTCAGATTACTTCTGCTAGCTAGTAGTATAGTTAACCTAGCCTTATTCTCCTGACAATCGCAGCCCCCCGCCGCCCCCGGCTTTGTAAACCAGAGAAGATATATTTGGCATCATTGCTTTATGGGGAATTGCAAATTAAATTGTTTGAAATATTCATATTTGGATTAACCTTAAGTGACACATAATAGGACTAAATGGCCAACTAAGCCACTGTTATTTTCCTTCCTCTCTGGCAGGGCACTTGATCCATTCCAAAGTCAAAAACTGGACTAAAGCTGATTTGTACTTTACATAATATACACTCTGCTTCTGGCTTACTTCTTGGTACATCAATATATTAATTGTAAAGTTTATTGTATAGTATTTAACCACTGAATTTCTTATTTTATGTTGTGCTTATGTGAACCCCTTGGTGAAGGTCCCATTTTCCTTGGATAATGTGTAGTTATATGATCTCTTTTTAAATGTACAGATATTTTGCTATAAAATTGGTGCAGTTTTTTATGGTTTTTACACTTTAATTCCCACCTAAGCCTCTGGGTAATATTGTAAATATTGTTTAAAAATGCATCAGCCTGTGCTATACAATCTGAATGTTATTTTAACTTATAGTTTTTTTTTTAATATATATATTTAACTACAAGGACAGTTTAGGGATCAGTTACCACATTTCACTTTAGCATACCTATTTACAAAAAATTACTTTTAAAACTGCCACCTGCTAGCACATTTTCATAAATGTGTACTTTAAAAAGAACATGCCAAGATTTTGTCTGTTAACATTGATTTTGATGAAAAAAACAATTTGACCATGATACAACACAAGTAGTTGGCCCTTTATGACAGGCGGCTGCTTTCCAAAGCTTAATACTAAAATGCATATAATTGCCTATTTATTAATCAACAAATAGACAATAATGTTGGCATGTTCTTTTCTGTTTATTAATGGGCTTGCCTTCTTAGCAATATTAGAAATGTTTTATAAAAAAGCAATTCATGTTACTTTTCTGGTCTTTTCATGACATATGAGCAAATAAACTATTTACACTACTATCCTGTAATATGTTGTAGTCTTTCAATGACATACTTTAATGGGGGGGGAGGCGTGGGGAGGGTTTACCAGTGTTACATACTTTTATCTTCTAGGAAGTTATTTCTTACTGATACGCTCTTGATCACTTGCTGTATGGAATATAAGAACCTAACAGATTTGGTAGTGAGGGATACATCTCCAAAACTGTACTTACCAATTTATTGCTTCCAGAGAAACACTGGTGTTTGTTGAAGAGGTTACTCCCCACCCCCCAAATTTGTTTTAATGAGGATGTTGTTTGTATATGGATAGGTTACGTGTGGACTGCACAGACGTAACCCTGCAACCAACAACTGTATTGGTTGGCAAGGTATGTACAAGCAGTTTGGCCTCTACTGCCCAACCAAACATGCTGGTATTTTTGTTAATTCCAAATCATCAGACTGTGCAACATTCAGTATATTCTTTTTAGGAAAGCAAGGAAATTTGGTATTTTAGAAAACTGTCCAAGTGGCTTAAAACAACTGTTTAAAAAAATTTTTAGGATTTTAATTGAGAGAGAGGGAAATCACAAGTGGGGGGGGGAGGGGCAGAGGGAGAAGCAGACTTCCTACTGAGCAGAGGAGCCTGACCTGGGGCTTCATTCCAGCCCCCTGAGATGACCTGAGATGAAGGTAAGTCACCCAAGCGCCCCTCAAAACTTTCTTAGAGAGGCACGAATAAAGTTTAATTATTGTATTAAGTCTTTGTTACCAATTCAGCGCTCTTCTTACACCAGTCATACAATGTCGTTGAAGCTTTATTTTATAAAGAGGGGTTAAAGTGAAATTCCAGTTAGTAAAATTCTCTAGTTTGTGCCTCATGGTAAAAGAAATAGTATCTTTAATATTCTACAAATTCAAAACGTTTTCAAAACCAAAGCACAGCAGTTAAGTTCAAATGAGATAGGTATGGTTAGGTATGGGTGGGGCATTATATACCATTAACATCCACTCTTAAAGATAATTACCAGTGACTTCAAAATAATATCCTTATTCTCAACTCCCAATCCTCTAAAACATCTAAATTCTAATCCACTAAAATTCATTGATTGCCCAAGGGACCCTGACGAGTCAACAATGCTTAGCACAGGAAGGGACTTGATACCCATCAAAGACTGTGGTTCAACATACTGGATTTTGTAAAAATTATCTTTTTAGACTGCAAGATACACTCATGATAGCTTTACAATGGGCATACCTATTAGTTTTAATATTTGGTAAAACAGCTCTTAGCCCTAAGCCATTTTTAAATTTGTATCAGAAACATCTACAAAGATGATCAGCTCAGTATATGCAAAAGGATTAATCTGATCGTGTTTCACTTCTCTTAAAACTAATACTGATCTAATTCCAAGAAAAAAATTCGAAGCAAGAAACAAATGCAAGAAGTTTAGATATACTTTCTTTGATCTAGGTTTTTTTTAATAGAGGCCAAGTTTTACACTGAGGAAACAATGCGGGCCTCTAGCATCTCACAGCAAAGAACTGCATAGGAGAGGGGTACTTAAAGGAAAAAGCGGACACAAATCCAACTTAGTAAAAGATGCCATCTTTTCTAATAAATTATATTTATTTACAAAAGGTCTAATTTTATATAACTATTAGGTTCTTTACATCAGAACAATATATAAACAGAAGAGAAAATCTGGTAATTACAAACACAGAAAATAGAAACTTGTTCCCCCTTATCATTACTCACCTTTCAGTACAAATCTTCTGTTAAGTTGTAGAGAGGTAGGCAAGAGACCAAACCTACCAAATTTCAGGCAGGACCAAAATAAAGGAGTATTCATATATAGACATTTTAGATGCCCCAAGGAACAGCATAAAAGGGCATCAAGAAATGGCTTAGTTGAATTATGATCTGATTAGGCAGCCACTCTATTTCAGTCTATGAATGAAAACTGGGGTGGGGGTGGCAGTTAGCTAGTTCCTCTGAAATGCAAACATCAACCTAGGCCATAACACCTGGGGCACTTACCAATCATTAACAATAACCAGATGGCCTTGAAGTGTAGATTATATTGAGTCACAAAAGCAATTTTTATATGGCCAGTTTTTTGAAAAGCATAGAAAATCTACAATTAAGGAACTTATGCAAGGGAGACACGCTAAATAAAGGAAGGGCTAGGGGGAGTGTGCGGGTACTTGCAGCAAAATCATCTCACTTCCCATACCTCACCCTTTGTTGGAAATAGCCTGAAATGATTAGTTCTCAATTTAGAATTTGGGTATTTTGTTGCTGTTTCCAAGCATGGCCTTTAACGCTAACTCTGGCCTAGCTAAACATTAGCTCTTCAAACAGAAGTTTACTACTTTTAAACTACTATGGTATCTTAATTTATGAATAGGAAAAGCTACATTTCAAATCATCACAAGGGATTTCCTTTCCTACTCAGAAACAGGGAAGTTATATGTTCTCGCTAACAAGCTTTTGGATATTTCTGTAGTAAAAGATAAAGCCACTAGACATTATCTTCAGTGGTGCACTTCAATTATGTATGTGGCTTTAGTTGTGGGTTAGTACAGTTTATTGCGATGATGCTTTTTCAAGCCCTATAATACAGTTGCTTGGTCCCATGGATGCTGAATGTATCTGACAACTATTTTACAATCATTCAATATACGCCTACAATTGCCAGGCACTGTTCTAATCCACAGGATATAACAGTAAATGAAACACAAATCCCTGTCTCCAAGGAACCTGACCACCATTTACGTTAACACAACTGAAAAACATAAGAGCAAGGTAAGATTTAATAATAATTATTAGACTAGTATATGCCATTACCAGAACCACAAAGTAAAATTGTAAGCCTACTTAGAACACAATTCCATGAAAAATTACTCATGACATTATTTTGCTTCTTTATTTAAAATGACTGGTTTTACTTAAGAGAATGTAAAAGAATTAAAATTGTACCTGATACTGAGAGAGATACATCCCCAAGGGAAAAGAAAAATCTGATTTAAGATACAAGCAATTAATGTGATTTGCCTCATTTTGCTTTTAGAAATGTTTATTTGGTTCCTTAGTTTTGTAATTTACATTTAAATTACATAATATTCTTAAATATTCTATAGACTTATAGCATTCATCACTCTTCCCTGGGTACTATTTGATTGGAAGCCGTTCTCTCTCAAATAGCATCTAGGCTTAAAACAAAAAAAAAACCCCCCAAGCCCCATATGGCTACCCCTTTCTGATGCAAAAAGAAAAGTGGCTGCCTAGTCAGCACTGAGTTGACCTTTAAACACTGGAAGAAAACCGGGATCATCCAGGCAAATGCTTCTTAACACAGAATACAGGCCCTTTGGTAAAAGAAAATTATGGACGGTCTTTCCAGAAAAATGTACAGAGAGACATTTCAGTTTTTACAGTTTCTTCACTCTACCACTATGAATAGAGCTTTACTCTAGGCCATTTTTATAGCTGTATAAAATGAGGACCAATTAGCAAAAGTCAAGATGTGAAACTGATCATTTTCAAATTTACTGGGAGGCATATATAAAGTTTTTATTGTTGAAAAACATGAATAATCTGTATTTTTGAAGCTGCTTTGGGTAATAATGAAATAGCCTTGCTGTGTTTAAAAAAAAAAAGTAGGAGCATTGCTTTTATTTTTTAAAAGCATTAAGTTATTTAAACAAACTTGGGAAAGTGCAAAGAATTCATCATACTTGACTAACTTTTCATACAAATTCAATTTTCCCATATAGGAATTACTGGACTGGGAGAAAACAAAAACATCAAATATTGGAGATTCTGATTTTGA